CCCTCCTGGGAGTACTGGCTGCAGGAGCCCCTCGAGGAAGCAGCAGGCAAGAAAATGATCCCACCATACATAATGAACTGTAACTGCATTTCTGGGCATGTGCTCCCTTCTGCTATCACAAAAATCCCTATTTTAAAGGGCCTGATCAAACAAAGAACACTTCAACATGATCATAAGAGAACCATGACAAGCAGATTTGTCTGTGCAGTTCTGCATCTCTCAAGAGGACGATGCTGTAATTTTAGGTCACAAACTTTGGAACATTATGGCATGCAATCTCCAGGCATCTGAACACTTTGAACTGAGCCAAAGAAGTCCCCCGAGCTAAGACCAAGAGGAATGCCACAAAGAAGCATCCATTTTAAGCTGATGCTTTATTTCTAGTCCTAGAGGCCACAGACAAAAAAAAAAAACCCAAAGTGTAGAGGATCCTTTTCCCAAATAAAAGCACACTATGCATTCCTCTCCTTGCCTTCCCAAAATGAAAGCTTTAGTGAAGTGGTTAGTGTACAAGTGAGCATTTCTTCGCAGCACAAGGCAGAAATAATGACTATGCCTGTTGCTCATTTTTGCATATGAGCAGATCAGTGACTCACTGCAGACTGCTGACTTCTGTGTGGTGGGATGTTTTGGCACATATGCCATTGGAAAAAAGGAGAAAAAAAAAAAAGGAATCAGTCACAGCTCCAGAAAATATCAGAGCAGGCCATCTGCACATATTCAGTACAGATACACTTTTCAGCCATTTTGTGACATTATTATTGTATATGCACACTCCCAGCTTAAAATGCTTGAAGTGGAATTTGCCAAAGTGTTACAATTTGTTCAGTCCTGCTCCCACTGAACAAAGACCCCAGTGGGAGCAGAATATGGACAATTTGGAAAGCTCTGGGGAAAAAAAGATGCTCCCATTTAAGAAAGTTCATATTTTTCATTATACACATGGATTTGAAACAGCTTTCACATTACAGGGTTTTCAGGTGTTTTTATATGATAAAAACTGACTGAAGAGAGGACTGGACATGACAAGCACACTGGAAGGAATCTGTGCGCACCGACCTGCTCGTTTTCTGCTTAGGAATAGGAAAGCATCCAGACAATCCTGGTTGTTCGGGTTAGGTACCAGATCAGGTCTCGTGGAGGTATAGGTTAATGACATTTGACAGAAAATCAATCTGGTACTATTTACTCAAAAATAAAACATATTAAGGCATGCAGCCCTAGTTGAGGGGGGAGAGAAAACAGCCCCAAACCAACAAAAACATAACTCCATTTTTATTCACCTAACGACCTGCGGAAGTTTTGGCATGCAGTACTCTAACCTGTTTTCCAAATTTAAAATGTATCTTAAAAGGCACTGACCTGTGGACTGCAAGAATTATGTACTTATCTAAGAACAGAGAATGTCTGGGAATTTTATGATCCTGCACACGCTTATCCGGGAAAAGCAGGGAATGATTTTACGGAGTGTTTATTAAACCTACCCTTAAAGATTACTGCCTGTTGTTTGGAAACATTCAGAGGCCCCAGCCACTAGTAAGCAGTATTTGTGCTGGACATCTCTTCTGATTACCTTATAGACAGAGACAACCCCAACAAAGAACAAAGCAGCAGAAACAACTCAGTCATGCAGAGCACAGCACAGCCAAGATAAGGTTTCCTACCTCTCAACAGTCACACTCATAAGACTGTATCGACCCTTCACGGTTCATTCTCATCACATTGTAAGAATAAGATGTTACTCTGCTTAATTCTTATGGTGTAAAAAATGCCCAGTAATTTCAAAAACCCAAAGCCTTTCCAAACCAAGCTCCATCATTTTGTACAATAGGCCACTTTTGTTTCCTGCAATACTTGCAGGAGCCTAGTATGCAAACCTGCACACTTAACACCTCTGGAGGTCAGTATTCTCTCACTCTCTTTGGACTCATCACAGTTCACAGGGAAGCTAACAGCACGAGGAGGCTGAATGGTATGTCAGTACACCACAAATTAAATTGAGGATTCAGCGTAATGGATGTCTGGCTCAGCTGGAACAGTTTCCCTGCTAAGCTAGTAAGCTTGCTTGTATGCAACTGGGTTCAGATAGTTTCAAATCCACAACTTGCAACCTAATTTTAAGCATCCTAACAAAATAAACCAAATTCAACTCAACTCATTGCCATGGAATACTTACTTTTTAGCAATCTTTCTTGTCCAAAAGAAAAATGCTCTGTCAGAAAGTTTTCCAGCTATCTCTTGAGAGCTGAACTTCACTCTCCAGGGAGCTGGAATGACTGACACAAGCTGACAGCTTGCCCAGCTAAATGAGTTCAACATTCACTGAAATTAGGAGCAGGTATCACTAGCTCCATCTGGATTTAGTTCAGGGCTGCGGTTAGATGTTCACTATAGAAACAGCAGTGTTACTATCAGATATTCCTGCCCTGGGGCTGCTTGTTGTAACCCCACAGCTCCATTGGTGGAAAAGTTCATGTGACTGTTTACCATCTGCTTCAGTGCAAAGTCAGCTGGCTTAAAGAGCCCTTATTGTCAGCTAGAGGCAAACGCTCCACGGCCTCCTCTGCAGGGCTGTGCCAAACAACTTCTAGCAGGCTTGTAACCTGCCTGCAGTTATGCTTCTGACCTTCCCTCCAGACTTGGGCGAATATATTCCAAACCTTTTAAAGTATTCCAAACAAGGATAAAAACTAAGCTCTTGCACATGAACCTAGCCAAAAGCAGAACGCACTTCTGGGCTACCTGACCTTGAAGTAGCCCTCCAGCATGCCATTCCCAAACAGTGTAGGGCCTGTGAGAGTCTTAGACAGACAGACATCTGAACAGGCAAGCACTGTAGCAAGAAAACCAAGGACCTGCTATTACAACTTCAGCTGCCAGATCACAGTACATACAGAGATCTTGTTCCCAACAGATGTTGCTTAATTAACCACTGTATTATCATACCGTAAAGCAATTCATTCATGGTCATTGACGAAGATCTGTCACATACATACCATAAAAAAATGAAAGACATTTGAAGTCAGAAGTCATTTGGTATTAGCATAAGTCTAATCTTGCAAACGTGACTGTTCCATATCTAATTAGATAAATACAAAAATCAATACCAAAATTGGCACGCACTAGAAAAGAACAGCTGCTCAATCCTGCATACTGTAATGTGATTATTTGTGAAGCATTCAAAAGGCACAGATCTAATTCAGGGTCACCTGTCTAAAATAGCTATATCAGATCTGAAAGCCTGTCGGTCAGTGGAACTACTGCAGTAGCAGAAAAGGAAATCAGCTTCACATTGTGAACTGTGCATAATGAGGATTCTTCTGAGCACCCTTTCATCCTGTAGAATTACTGGTACGTCATTCCTTCACTCTGAGATGCTTCTGTACTGCGTGTATGCATCGGTATTTCTGCCACAGTCTGGAAATAGATCTCCCTACCACATTCTCACTTCTCTGCCACCTCTGTGTCAGAGGCTGTTCACATATAAACCAGCCAAACCTGTCATGAGTTTCTCCCCCCATGAGCCCCAGCGAAACAGCTGGGTATGAAATTGGTTTTCCTGTCCCCTAATCTTTTTTTGGTCATGTCAGGACATTTTTGCTCCAAACTTAAATGATAAAGAGCTGACATCTTGATGAAATAAAATCCATTCAGATATCTCTGGCATCTTATGTTTTCACTTACAGAGCCTAAAATTACAGTAAAATGCAAACTGGCATAAAACTACATTTTGAAAAATGTAAGAGAATGTAACCTTTTGCTCACCTGCCATTTGTTTCTCCATTTTCTCCTGTGAAAAAATTGTCAAATTCACTTACCTCACAAACATTCATGTTTTTGATAAATTTGTTTTCTATGAGGAATGTATTTCATGTAAAAACTCTACAACAGTTCTACTCAATATGAAAGTCAGGAGTCAAGAGTACATCCTGAAAACTAACCCAGGTGAGACCAACTAACTCCAGTACTAGAAAAAAGTTTTCTTTCACTTCACACTTTTCACATGTAACAGTAAAGTAAGAATGTGTAAATTCCTGAGCTTGTGATAGCATTGTTGTTGCTTAAGAATGTATTGCAGATGATAATTTACCTTTGCTGGATTTTGGTTGTTCAGATGAGCCGCTTCCAACCTTCCTCTTTTTCCTTGGAACAGCTGAATTTTTCCTGTCAAAGGTAATAGGACTGTATTGAGGGAGGCTGTTGAATTTCTTTTCAAATTCTTCTTCCAACTTTGCTAAGCTAAAGGGGAAACAAAACCAATCAAATTAAATGTAACTCTGTTTCTGAAGGAAAAAAAAATACCATTTAGGAGCATGTGCGCGTATTTACACAGAGAGGAGTAGAAGAGGTAAGTGTGCACACATCAAACTATTATATTTTAATCCAACTGTGACATAAGAACATACACTCCAGCTTCTGCATTTGTACTCACTACAAACTGATTACACTACCTGCATATCTTAAAATGAGAAAAAAACAAAACAAAACAAAACAAAACAGTGTCATCCTGGTGACATTTAGCTCTGTTTGATACACAGATTCATACAGGAGATTTGTCTATTCTGTGTGGGGAGTGGAAAAAAGACAATAAAATCAATAAACAAAAAACTCAGTAAAGTAACTTCACATAAAAGTCCTTACATCAGAATGTACACAACAACAATACAAACCAGATGAAAAACGTCAAACTATTCAATTTTCTGAATATATTCTAAAACCTGACTCTTTGGGGTGGGAATGAGCTTTGTGTTTGTTCTGGGGGACTGCATTTTCTCACCTCAAATTTTTTTTTAGGTTGTGAGAACAAAACTGCAACTAGCTCATGCTTCCATGAAACCCAACATCCTTCATACTTCAGCCCAACCTGAATGTAACCAGATTGCCTGCAACTCAGGAAATTCACAGACATGGTATAATTGTTGCTCATAACAGACAGATGAAAACCAACCACTTGACAGGACAGTGTGACATGGTACTTCAGGCTGTAACGACCACATGACTTGCCTAAGCACTCTGTTCCAGCAAATTTTTGTGGCTAGGCAGGAGCACAGGCAAGAATTGTGTTTTAATAAAAGACAATGCACACAGGCAGATTATAAATAATACCATCAGTGACAGGGGAACAATGACATCTGCTACTTGCCTTTATCTCCGTTTGCTACGGAAAACCTGAAGTTGACAAAAGATGGCATGACTGTTGGAGGGATGGCCCTTACACTTGGTACCCTTGGAAGTGCCACAGGAAACATGGCATTTCTCGCTGCTCTCTGAAGCAGCACGTCAGACAAAAGGCATTCTGAAAGCATCAGCACACAGTGGCACACCTCATTTTATCTCTGTAATCGTTACTTCTTTCAGTAAGCTATCTTCCATCTTAAAATACAGCCTTGGCTTTTGGCAGACTCTGGGCACAGTGGTGTTGGTCTCTTTTGGGGGTCTGTGTGTGCACCTGTTTTGTTTTGGTTTGAACTCCCACAGACACATGACCTCAGCGGTGCTCGGTACTGCCACCTTTCTCTCCCACGCGCACGTTCCCCAACAATCACAAAACGAGCTGACTTTATGCTTTCGACAGCTGTCATGCAATTCCACCCTCTGCCCCAGCTCCTCTCCCTGCTGCCACTGGCCCCAAAGGCACATGAGGGGCTGCAGTTCTAATTAGGAAGACCCAACCACGAGAGACGATGAGCTGCCATCCTGGCCGGTAATTCATAGCTTATGTGACATGGAGGCAGCAGAGAGTGCTGCTATCACTATGGCAGTGATTAGTTATTAAAACCCAGCCAAACAACAAACACCACCCCCTATTCACACTGATACGAATTTTCAGAGCATCGCACAGCCTGGTTAGACACACGTGGCTGAGCTGAGACTGTCATGCTGTACCACCTAGTCCTGGCAGGAGATACAAGCCAGCAGAGCACTGCTCAGCAAAGGAGCGGGCTGCACATGGACAAAGCACACTTGACAGGGACCACCGGGGAACTGTGGGCAACTGCCAGTGGAGAAGGTAAGAGGACACAGCGAGAAAGACTTAATTCCAAGGGGGTGAGGACCCTCCCCTTTATATGCACAGAAAATGAGGGAAACGTGATGCTGAAGGGAGCAGGAAGAATTCATAGGAGCAGGTAGATGTAAAACCAACTTTTCAAGTAGCCAAAAGGTCAGGTAGTGCAACAAACAGGGGTACACAGAAACCTTCTCCACCACCTATGCTCCATAAATTACTGACTCTGCCGTTACAGAGTTCACTAAATAACACTCATTAACAACAGGACTGAATCAAGAAGCAAGAGTGGCAGGTATGTATCTTCCCCATCCATCCAGCTAATGATGGTGGAACAGGGCATGTTGAATAGATTATTCATTTACACAATTTTCCTAGCTATTTTGAATAAATAATTTGTAACTACAGGGATCTTTTTTTTGACTAGGAGATGCAGTTTTCACACCATTAGGTGTGAGAAGTTTTCAATCTTTCAATTTGAATTTAAACAGTATCTACAAAATTTCAATACAGTGCAAATGTTCCATTAATTTTTCTCAACTATTCCAAGCAAACAAGACTTGGAGATTTTCATCAATTTAGTATCTTTGCTTTAAAGCAAGCTGCAGCTAAATTTCACATAGATTAGATTATAAAAAAGGCTACCCAAAGCCTGCACAAAAAAAATATATTACAATTTTAAGCATGAAGTGTGAAAAATCTACTCTTTTTTAATTCATTTTCTCCCTCTGAATTCAGATCATTGGAAGTCTTCAAGAATTTGCAAGTATTAATGGCTAAGCAGATTTAAAAACTTTGCCTGCAGTTAAATACATCTGTAATATACTGGCAAAAACTGTTACTTGTGTACTAGGAAAGTAATTCCGTGTAGCTCTGCTAAATTTCGATGCATTTGTAATCATTAATTAGTCGTCTGATGTATTTACTTTCTTCACGGTGTACATGAACAGCTTAAATATCTTGTCTCTACAATGGAAAAATGATGTATTTTTCATAATTATTTGCCAATATTAGAACATTGTTTACTCTTCCTCTGTAAGCAATGTCTCCAAGCGGACAAACGGATCTATTCTTTCTAGCTTAATTCTATTTATGATGATTGAACACCTACACAGAATTTTAAATACTGCTTGCCAAGTGCTTTGAAAATAAAAGTAACCTTCTTCACCACCTCCTGAGCTGGTAAATACTGCACCAGTTGTTTTTTGCCTTTTTTTTTTTTCCCCTCCTTTAGGTGAGCAAATAATGTCATTCAAATCTGTTTACAGTCATGTAAACCAGGAAAGATCTCAGAGGAATTATTTTGGTATATAAACAAAAGGTATCTAGAGCATGACCCAGCCCAACAGGGTTTGTAGTTTTTAGGAATTCTATCTAATTGTGATTTTTTGGGTGTTGGATGCTGTTAAATCAGCCACAAGGACAACTCACTCTTGTGTCACTAGGCTGAGCTAACGGTAACTTCAAACAGCGTTAAGTTGCAACTTACCCAAAACCAAAGTCTTCCTTTGGCTTAGGCCTTTTCAGTTTTTTGTTCCCACTTGTCCCACTTGGGGAAAAAGCCCAGTTTTCTTCACTCCAGCATCCTTCATGATCTGAGGAGTTGCCTTTTCCTGAGCTTCTTTTTCCTGGGATGAAGGCAGAAAATTGTTTCTCATTTTTAGAAAAACGTGCCAAAACGAAGTGGGCTCAGAAGGAACTCTTGTACCCATTCAGTACTGCAACTTAGAATGCTTGAGCTTCTTGAAGGGGTTATAAAATATTTACTTAAATTTATTTTAAACTGGATAATGATGATACTGGCAACTATTTACTTCCCCTCCCCCCACCTATTTTATACTACCTCTGAAGTCAGAATCTCTTCAGGTACAAAGGAGGAGAAAGAGATGATTAGATTTATAGTAATAAACTTCCCTAAATTACAAACTTCTTTTTCTTTTCTGATTGTTCTACTTATGCATATAAATCTACTAAACAGAAAAGCACATTTCAAGACATCTCAATGAAAGGTTCCAGAAGTTATCTAAAATTTATCCTTCCACAAGGTAAAGTGTTCCCGCTCAACACCCACAGCAACACCAACAACCAAAGCAAAAGCACAACACGTTTGCCTCTTGTGGGACTGAGAGCTATGCTCAGAACCAAGAGAGCTGATTAACTAGAAACAAGCTAATTGTTCAGGCTTACAAACAACACAAGCCCTGCGGACATCTACCATCACTCTGGCAAGTTAACCAACAAACCCTTTGAACAAAAATCTGGATCTCATATCGTGGAAGACCAAAATGGAGAGTTTACAATTTCGTGAGGTAAGTAGGGACAGAGATGGCAGGACTGCAGAAGACCTGCCCTGGACCATGAAGTCTGTCCCCCTCCACCTGCCCCCAGCATCTCAGGTGACCAGATACATCCTTCCATCGCACACTGCTCACACTCCAGCTTAACCACGGGTTTCTGCTCCTCCTCCCACTCCAGGCAGGCTTTTGCGGTTCATGCTGTAAACAAAACACTCAAAGCCACCCACCTCTGTCCACGTTAGCACGCAGAGATGTGAGCATGCCCTCTGACACCAGAGTTTTATAAAGAGCACCTTTGCAAGATCTCTCTGATTTCCTGGAGCCACAGGTTTCTATCTTTTTAACACAGTCACTGTCCTCTGTTTTGACCTGTCCTGGTAAGCTCTGGGGTACCACCTCCTCTGTTGGGGTCAGTGGTTCCACTTTAATATTATCAGAAGCCTCACAGGCTACTTCCTTGCTGGGTGCAATACTAAGGAAATCGGGAGGCTTTGATTCTTTGGTGGTCTCCATGGGTTTCTCTTTTGACGTTTTCTTCTCTTTCGACTTCACTTTTTTCTTTGGTGATTTTGTATCCAACACGTTTCCCTTCATATTTGAGACAGGGCGGGGTTTTTTGCGGGGCGTTTCCACAAGTCTCTCGACACCCCAGTCCCCCTTTGCAACGGCTTCAATCGTATACATGACGCTTTCAATGTCCGACTCAGAGGACTGCCTCTTTTTACAAGATTTCTTAGGGGTGGATTTTTCGTTTGTGTGCCTGTCCATCTTATTTTTTTTCTTTTTCTTTTTTATCTTTTCCGGCTTTAGCCCCAGGATATTCATGTCAGCTGCTGAAAGCTCTGGAGAACAGCACCTGTGATCCTTTGTGTTGTCACTTCTCTCAAAAGGACTGTTCTCCATTGCAAGACCAGTAAAATCTCTGCATTTTGCAGCTTCCAATTCCTCAACTTTTGTCTCATCCCGGTTTTGCATTCTCTCTGACTGTTCTACTTTTCTTTTACAGGAGTCTTTTATTGTTGTTTTCTCCAGTTCTACTTCCATGTCCTCTGGAACTTCATCTCCCACACCTTCTGGCGTTTCCACTTTTGTTTTCCCAGGTTCTTTAACTTTTACTCCTTCTGAAGCAAGGCACATCTAAAATGAGTTTAAAAACAGTCCCATGAAACAGTCATCAACTGTTAGCACTACTTACCTATATTAACAGGAGCATTACACAGGGAATCTCTGGCATCCTAGTTCAGGAAAGCAAACGATGCTATGGGACAGTACTGAAAAACAGGTGGAAGCCCAACTGAAACTGATGTGACATGGTGATGGCCAAGGGCTCTACTGCTCTAATAGAAAAAGCCTTCAACTGACCTCAGTGCTATTTCCACGATCCTTTAAATGCCTTTTATACAATCTGGAAACGCGGTGCTAGACTGATTTTCAGAACACCCTAAATGCATCGGAACAATACACTATCTCTCACTACTGCCACAGACAATTCACATGAAATCTCACATCCATGCCCCTTCTCACCCCCAACTGACCCTATACACAATTCTTCCCTCCATTTTCCAAATGGGCCTGAAGGAGGGGATTGGGGGGGGGAGGAAGTTAACTGTATCTTGGTAACTGAGATTATTTTCCTTTACTTGACATGCAAAATAATTTGGAAGGTAGTACAAAAGCCTTCCAAATCTTTATTCTCATGTCACAGACTTATTTTGTAAAGAACTGCAAAGCAGCAGTGGTTACCATGGTTATCTGCTGCTTCAGATAACATTAACAGAAACCAAAAACCTCATGCTGTCTTAGGAACAGCAATACTCAGAAAAAGAGCTGTAAAATGGTCCTCAAACTGCCGTGTTCCTGCAGCACTGGCTCGGAAGATAGGTTTTGGATCACCTGTAAGCTATGCTGACACTGCTACAGAGTGCAGTCCTTCACAACACCAAGCAGTTGCACCTGGGAAGACATGCTTTCTTTTTCTTACTACCCCCAAGCCGAATTTTTAGGGCTATTTTGTTTTTAAAACAAATGTCAACCAAACAGCTGCCTAGAGCAAAACCAGATGGAAGGGGCTTGCTTCAAACCAGACATCAGTAGTTTCCCTATCCCACAGCTCAGCCCATGGGCCACATGTTTAGTATGAATGTACCCTTCAGATCATTGGGTTCTCTTCAGGTTAATTTTAGGTATCTCAAATCAGCAAGGCATTTTTTCCTTGCAAACTAAAAATATCTCAGACCAGTGTGTGCATGAGCATAACACCAGTAACAGATGACTCTGTAGTCAGTTTCCAAAATCCTTGCTGCACAGGGTAGAAAATCCTGATCTGGTTCAGGTCAAGCTAAGGTGAGCACTGGAAACCCCGGAGCCTGGGCCGCACAGTGTCTAATAGGAAACAGGCTGAACTACGCAGAGCGCAGTCCCACAACTATGCTGAGGTGGGTTCTTGGAACCGAGCTACTTCCCTGGCTTTTTCACTTCACTACAACATAACCATAGTCTGTGACTTAGAAAAGCTAAAGATCAATCTCTAAAATGCAACTCATTGGACAGCAGTAACATTTTGTCAGTTCCAACACACACAGTCTCCTCGCCAGTGGATTTTTTTCCCCTTATAACTTTGCTTCTTCTGCAGTAGCCAATAGTACAGAGAGCTACAGAAGCGGCTACAACAAGTGACTTCTGTTTTGTGAGCGCTAAATAAATTTGCAATTCAGAGTCTTTAAGAATGGGAAAGGTTAAAAAAAAAAAGCACTTATAAGTACAACACTTCAATAAGAGGCTGCTGGTTTTAACTGTTCCCAAGACGAGGATCTACTGAGATTATCATAGCAGACTTTCTATAGAACTTATTGACCTGTTTGTTCCCCACTTCAAAAAAACAGTAGGGACAGAAAACAAAAAGACGTTAAAGCAACTAGTGACTTTTAACAGGAATTTGTAATGGCAATGCCCTAATCTGAGTAACAGACTAATCCAGTCCTCTCTTTCAACTCCTTGCACCCCTTGACCAAACCAGTTAAAACACTAAACCAAGGAATTCGAAGAATTTCCATGGTGATTGGAAAGTCTCTTTGCCACCAAGGACTGGTACTTCTCAGCTGCAGCACAGACTCTTAGAAACATCCAAGTTGATGTCTAGACTGAGGAATCTTGACTTGAGGCACCCAAGCCATAATAATTTATGCTTCTATAAGCAACAGTGTAATTATAACTGGAGCACTGTTCTGCCTTCCAGACTTCAGCAATCAACATCATTAACTTCTCTGCCCCATTGTACCTGTGGTAATTAGTCATCAGTGTTTTAATATTACCTCTGCCAGCTGAAATAATGCTGATGTTCCACACTGCTTTGTTAAATCCGAAGGACTCGGATGGGATGTACTCGAAGAAATCTAAAGAGAAAACAGAAGGGGAGAAAAAACAATGTTTAAAACACACCTTTTGAACAGATTTTTTTTCTCCCTCTTCCCAAAATTCACTCCTAAGATTACATACTGAGAAAGAAGTGCAGACCTGCACATGCCGTTACGAGGAAAACCCTGCTCCACCACTGCTGCAGTGGATAACACCAGTGGACACTAAAAGATATTTACAGATTTGGGGATCTTCTTGCAGGACTCCCTCTGAGGAGCAGAATGAACTGAAGCACATGCTCCAACACATGAGTAGACTCCAGCAGCTAAGCACCACTCTACACCAGCGTGCAACCTAGCTGTTGCTGTTTTTGAAGGCTTAGTTGGACCTTAGTTGGATTGCAAAATCTTTTCATTGTCATAGTTTAAGAAGGTTACTCCTGTCAGGTTATGGCACTGCTTGCTGGTGTCCTACAGGATGCATATAAAAGAGATGCTATGAAAACAAAGTCAAGTAGGAGCCCTCAAGACTTCGGTGACCTTTACTACTCCACTTCAGAATATGGGAGGCTAAGCCAAGCAGGTAGCTGATTATTCACCAGAATGTTTTTCTTGTGTCAGGCTGTGATCCTCTGCAATACCTGAGAGAGTTTTGGATCAGTTTTGATCTAGGTGAAAAGAAATAATCTTTCTCTAACCAAATCAAAAGCAATCAGTCTCAGGACTGACCATTAGTATGACAACAAAAAATCTTCTATTTCTAAGGACATGTCCCATAATCTCTGGTAAGGCTTGCAGGTTTCTTACACTTGCTTCCTTAGAAAGAAGTGGAGTTCTAGGGACTGGGGAATATAAGTGTCTATAACATTTTAGTTCCCTCTATCCCTGCAAACTCAGTTTTCATTGCTGTCAACCAACATGGGCCCTCAAAGTCTATTTTGCAGAAAACAACCTATCATTGCCATAAAGAAAATAAAGTAAGTTAACAACGCTATCTCTACGTCTCCTCGAAGCTGCAGCTCTTGCCAGCATCTCCCAAAATCTGAGCATTACAGCCCAAGTCTCCAAAAGCTGCTTACAGCCAAGTGTTGTTAGTGCTGCTAGCACTCTGTGGCAGAAAGTGGTCTCTTTGTCTTCAGGAGGTGACACTCCCCCCCACTGCCTCCCTACCCAAGGCTGAAGACGAAGCCTGCACTTACGCACAGCGAGAGACTCAGCAGAGCTGGACAGCAACAGCCCACCAGGCCCCAGACTGCAGAGCAGCTGCTCCAGCCATTTTTAGAAGCTCAGAAATTCTCAGAATTTTTTAGAAAATAATTTAACCTACATCTGCGTATTATGTTATCACCATCTGCAAAATACTGTGAACTATCAAAAAGGAAGGCATAGGGAAAGGGGGGCGTGGAGGGAGAAGATAAAACTGGTTGATGCACATAGCAGAGAGACAGAGGAGGAGCAGAGCAGGGTGGTGTGCTGAAGCACACAGGCTCCCGTGTGCCAGACCCCTGCCATGCCAGCAGCAAGGAGACAGCACTCTGCTCCCCTCCAGGGCACAGCACCTGTGGTTTGGAGTTACAGTGGCAAGGCACAGATATCTGCCAAGTGAACTTGCAAACCTAAGACACCCTCAAGGTGATAATGAACAGGGTTTATTTGGGATGCTCTGCACCAGGTCCTATCTGCTGTCTGAAAAATTATGATGAAGCTCTCAATATTTATCCAGTTACAATCCAACATTACAGAGATCTCCAACACAGGGATCAAAAAAACAAAACCAATAGCACTAATGTCCTACAAGAGCTAGGGACAAGGAGGATATGCTTAGCACAATTGCAATGCTTTTCTCAGCTTGAATCAGTCTTCAAAATGTATTTTGTATATTAAATTAGGCCTGTAGGAATCCATCTCAGCAATCACTGAGATAGAGATCACTGAAACCTGTCCAATGTGCAAACATCACACTGACAAGCCTGGCTTCATTTTTTTCTGCCAACTGCAGAAAAGCTCTGTGCTCCTGTGGACAAGCACCTGTCCTTTCCTCAGGTCAGCACTTCACAGTCACATCACAACTTTTAATGGTGAATTCAAAATGCCAGGCTGCACTCAGCAACAGCCTTACAGCACCTACAACTTACAGCAACAGAACAGGACTACTCAAGGCTTGCTGCTGTCCTGTAAGAGGACACCTCAAAAACTTCTGGTGTCCCTGACTAAACAGTAACAGCCTTTCTGCTGTCCCAGGCCTGCAACAGGCAAATGCACTTATGGATCACTGATCACAGTTTGGTGTAATCACACTTGCACAGGCACTGCTGACAATGTAGCACACACCCACAAAATCTACTGCTGCCAGGGGCTGCCTGTAGGCTAAGGCAGGTTTTCTTCCACTCATGTATGCTCCCATGAAATCAGACAGTAACATTACCATCCATGGAACAAGGCATGAAATACTTATTTTCAGTGCTTCCAATCTCTGACTTCTTCTTCCTTGAGAGAGATAAACCTCACTAGCAAGAATATGTGGCTAGATAACACTACATGGGAACCATTTTCCTCACTGAAATAGGACATGATTTTGGAAAAAAAACCAACCAACCAAACAAACAAAAAAAAAACCAAACCACCAAACAAAACAACAACAAAAAAAAAACCACAAAAAAAAGGACACCCAAAACCACACCCAGTCAAAGAAGAGCACAAGTAAGGTGCTAGCATTCTCCCTTATTTACCTGGAATACAGTATGTATCTTTGTCTTTCCATCATCACAAATAGTGTTTGCACGTCAAGCTCCAAAGGCTTTTGAGTGATTCATCCATATCAAAGAAGAGAGCTCTACAAGGTTGTATTTAAGACTCAACAGGGAATTTCTAGGACTTTGGGTACATCTAACCTAGTATACTTATTACTGCTGACAGTTGTCAATTTTAGAACTCAATACGCTGCTTCAACTTCCAGTGCTTTCAAACAAATCCCTGACGATCTCGAAGTCCTTCTCTACTCTTATTCTTGGTCTCCAGTTCAGCAATGCACCTTCCAGTTCTTATAACCAAGGCTTTACTTTTTGAATCCTGGTATCCAGCTTCTTATAAGGAAGAATGCTGTTGTCACCTTGTCTTTCCTGTTGTCCTGAGCATTGTTATTATTACAGTTATAAGGCTATTTTTTCTACAAAGAATCTTAACTTTTTGGCACAGCCTAATTCTCTTGCTATTCCATTATTTACTAATTTCTGCTTCTTGAAATACCAAATTTGATACTAGTGCAAACCTTACACAATTCATACTTTGTGGGGAAAAGATACACACATTTTCCTACTGTGACACTAACGGGTATAACTTTACCTCTGCCAACTGGAAGAGTGCCGACTTCCCACAGAGCTTTACTGGCTCAGGACTTGACAACTGGGAAGTATTTGATGAGATCTAGGTTTTAAATGAACAGAAGAGAAAATATTTCAGTGGCGCACAGGAAAGATAGAAAGGAAGGGAGAAAAAGAGTGAAAAAAATAAGGAGTTAGTTAAATCAGCTACTTTTAGATCTTTCTTCTGAAGGCCCTACTTCTGATAGGCAATCCCATACAAGAAAGACTTAACAAGCACTTGGAAATCAGCAGGACACAAGCAAATACAGAATTTCTTCCTTAGATTAGGTTTATGGATTCTCTTCTACACTTGTATTGTCCACAGCTAATATTCTGTCATGCTGTGCATTTTTACGTGTTTTATGTGACTAAGTGAACAAGACATACCTGTTGCTTAAAAACATGAACTGTGGTGCTCAAGGTTAATTCAAGTTCTCCCAGAAAGCCTACAGAATATTTCTCATTTGGTTAGTTACAGAGGAGGATCATTTGTCCTCACAGATACTGCTTGTTTCACTTTCTTTAGTTAGAAAAAAGAAACAGGACCTTACATATGGAGATAAATCTAGCTTTCCGAATAGGTGTTGGTGTGCCAGCACCAGCACTGATGAATAACCACTACCACCACTTCAGTGAACTGCTTTTACAACCAATTTTTTTCCAACCTGTGTCCAGGTGTGGCATCATGAGTTCACCAACAGAAGAATCAATTATGTCTCACACTGGATCTTTTTTTGGTGTGGCATTACATGGTAGTATTTGACCTGGATGTCTTGAAAAGCCTAAGATGTGGGGAAAGCCCACCAGTACTTCCACGGCACCTGCCTCATTACAAAAATCATGCTTTATGGCTATGATCTTTCAGGTGCAAAAATTATCAGCTTTGCCTTTCTCTTTGATTAAGGAGGTTCATTACACACATCTCACCCCCATGCACCCCACTGCCACCCCCACAAGCCAAAAGCCAGGATATCCATTTTACTGCCAGGTATTTAAAGTATGGTGAATAATACTTGAATGTACCTTCACAGTAATTTAAAATATTAAAGTAAAAGAGTTCAAAATCCTAGGTCTGCTTTAACACAGTTGTGTGAACCTGCTCAGGACCCTGCTGGAGTACATGATCTTGTACACTGCACTTGGCAGGAAGAGGGCCTCAGCTTCTTACCTTTCTACTGTAATTAATTCTCAGCTCTTAATGATTTTTCTATGCAATATGTATGGTAGAGAATTTCCAGAAAAATACTCCCACAGGGATGTATAACCTGAGAGCGTACAGGCATCTCTGCCTGCCAAGGCAGAGTGTGAGGAGAGAGTAAAGAATTCAGTTTCGACCACAGTATGGGCACTCCTAACAAAATGCAAGCAAGATCACTGGAGTACTAATAGAAAGAGAGGAAGCAAACATTTCCCTTCAGCAAAAAAATTCTCTTTACGGTTAAGAACACAAACTGCAAGAGACATAAACACAGAACTTGTTCTACTGAAGTTGCTGACGAAACATCAGAAGAGGATGTGAGACCAAATCAGCTCTTGGTAAGGTTACAGATCTCATTCTCTGTCTTCACACCATCTTCCAGTTTTAGTTAGAATAATCAGAACCTGCAGGATCATAACCACAAATAGCCCCTCTTATGTAGAGGTTTAACTTGGAGATCATGAGGATCAAGTTATTATAGTTTATTTACAATGCAGGCCAGCTTTTTAGCTACTATATTACACTCTGGTTTGCATAAGCAGCATGTGCGATGGTACCACTTTTTCATTTCTTTCCTGGAATAGGCATTTGACTTCAACACAGGGATTTAATAATTTCAGTATATAAGCAAAAAGCAAATATATTTGTCTATCTCTTGTAGCAGATTTAGGTGGGAAGACTAAAGCTTCATCTAAGGGAAGGCTGGAAGAGAAGATACTCAATAGTGTCAAAAGTCCCAATTTCAAGGCATTTTGACCAGAAGTTTTGGACTCAACCCCTCTGTTTAGTGCAGAAACAAACAGAAAGAGTTGCCCACAAGCCTGCTCAAAGTGAGTATGTGAGAACTGCAGCAGAGACAAAATAATTCTCAGGCATGAGTGTTTCCTAAATTACAGTAACCTGCTGGACTAGCAAAGAAAATTCTGCCTTGTTGCATGTGATTGTTTTTTTTTCCAATTAAATCATCCAGAGAAAAACTTCAGAAAAGCAGCTAAAAGTGAAGTCTTTGGGGCTTTTGGCTTCATTTTGGTTTTACGATGGTTCAACTAGTCTTTTTATTGTTTCCACTCTCTGGAAGCATTTTCTCTAATACCGGGTGAGAGTTTAGCTAAGTAAATGTAAGAGGTGCTCTCGTTTCTTCCCAAGGAAGCAGTCATCACCATCTGTTCACATTTGCCAAACACACTGCCAGTAAGACCAAGAGAGCAAGGGGTCCCATCTGCTCCGCTTCCCTCACGTGGCAAGGAGGATGACAGCAACTATGTCTGCCCATGTGAGCAGACAGCCTGCTAACAGCCACCAGGCCAAGGGACAGAGCCCACTGCTCAGAAATCTCTGGCCTATATAATGCCTTTCCGGAACGGTACAAATGAGAAAGACACAAGTAGGGCCAAGTTTTTGCGAGATCAGAGGAGAATGAGAAAGCCAACAGTGTAACTTGGCAGCATACTCCAGTCTTCAATAAACTCTTATGGGGATGGCACATCATCCTCAAAGATCTTCAAGACACTTGCCTGTGCACCCGCCAGAGCCAACAAGGTCCTACTCTCAGGATTTTCATCATCTGCTGGGGCACGTCACTGGGCAGGCCTCATTACCCACATCCTTAACAGCTTTAATTGAAGACTACAGGGGACAATTGAAGACATTGGGACATACAACCAGACAAAAGGCTATCTGAGGCTGTAAAGATGAAAAGAATTCCATGCTACATCTACATCTAACAAACTGTTTCTGAGTGGCAGAAGACTTGTAACTGGGGTAAAGGCGTCCATATTAAATGACAAATCTACTTAATAGGATCGCTGTCTTCACAAAGAGGCACTCTTACTCACCCCTGCTGCAAAGGTGGTGAAGAGAAAGGGAACATATGAAGAACACTCAGCCAGAACCAAAACTGAGCTGGGATGGCTGCCAAAAGTCTCCAGGCACATCCAACCACACCACACTTAACATTTCTTCATAGGCCTACTTGGCTACTGGCTAAATTACTACTTCTGTCCCTCTTTTTCTTCTTTTGTAGCACTGTACACTGCTGACAGCAGCCTACTGCAAATTGCTTACCATAATTTAACTCACTGAATGCAGTAATACGTTCATATAGACAGGACCCAGTAAGAAGTGGCACGGTGAGGAACGGGATTTTTGCCAAACTTGACAAAGACACCCTGTGCAAATGAAAAGCCCTTATATTTGAAGGAGCACAAGCAGCTTTAGTAGCAGCAGTTTAGGGGGAAAAGCTTAAAGAGGTTCTGTAGTATGTTCAATGCTTTCCCCTGGAACAACCTAAATGAAATCAAGCTGAAATCTTAAAAAAAAATGCCATTTCTCTATTGCTATAGAAAGAACATGGTTAGTCACTGCCATTGAGGTTTCACAACAGTATAACCCAAGAGGAATAACCACGGCCAACAAGGTTGGCTTTTGTTGTGTTTTTTTTTTTTTTTCCATGTCTGCAGACACTGAAGAAAACAACAACAAGAAGATACAACCCCCTCCAGACTGCTCAAACATTTAAATATTTTTACAAAAAAGGTATTAATCCCAACTTTAAAACTGCCCTTACCAGTTTCAAATGAACTTTCTAAGCACCTCTTCTACCTAACATCTGATGATTCACACACGCACCCCAACGTGCCAGATGAGCTGGCTCAGCCCAGCAGTATGCAACCCCATGCACTGGCACATCCCTGTGGCAATGGCCACGTCTGTCATTCTCTTGTTTGTTCATTTAGGAGAGGAAATGATTTTAGGTTCTATGAAATTTTGGAAGTATGTCTAAGTCAGGCTTTATATTACAATTTCAAAATGCTGTACTAAAGGCAACTCCTGTCTTGTTCAATACTGCAGATATCTAAAATTGCTGTTTAATTAAAATTTAAGATACCTAAGGTTTTTGACACTAAGTTAGCAAATTCACTTGTGCAATGTTTTGCACTAAAATTCACAAGCAGTGTTCTCCAGCTTGTCTCTCTTACTTGCTTTAAAAGATTGGCTTCAACACATGGCTTCACTCTGCTCAATCCCACCAATTTTCTCAAAAGAACTTCCCAAATTAACTTGTGACTTTAAAAAAAGGTGGTACATATGAAAATATCTTTATGATTAGAGATATTATCTCTGCTGTATGATCTATAAGGGTGTTTGTAGTCAGGTATTTTATGGCACCTTAATCAGTAAATTGTTTTTTCTTCATTTGGCCTCCTAAGAAATACATCAAGGCCCATCCTAGCCAAGCTATAAGAACACACAGTACACAATCAGATTAACATTTAAGAGAAGGAAGCACGCTGTATGGGGACAAACCTCTGTAAGCACACAGAATAACAATCAGGGTTTCTTTTCATGCCATTATGCTCCTCCTCAACAGCACCAGCTTCAATTCCAGACTTTTCAGATACACTCTGAATACACCTTATGCTAGCATAACTGATTCTGCAAGCAGTACAAGACTCCCCCAAATGGGCAAGAAGAATATATGTGTGGAAAGACAACCCACAGAAGCACGTTAAACATCTGGGAGAAGAAATTCTTCAAAGGGATCTTTAAGAACTCCAAATGTTCAATACCTGAAGGAAGGAGGATAGCTTACATACTTGAGAGTAATGTACAGGCTTTATAAGTCACCACCTAATGATACACGTGCTTGTAGCTGTTGTGATAAGCTCCCTCTGACCTGCAAGGTTGTTTTTCAAAGGATTCCTGCCCCCAGGGCAGTTGCCATTTTGTGCTGCCGCAGCCTCTTCCACAGGCAGTGCCCAGTGTCATTTCAGAATGCTTTTTACTTGTTTCCTAAATGTAAATTAAATGGCTGTTTGGAAAATATGTCTGCAGTGCTCCTTTGTCGTGGAAGGCCAGGTAATATTTGCAAGCCCAGCATGTGTATGCTACAGCTGGTAGTGCTGGTCAACATTGTGTTCAATTACTTGTTATTTCACCAAAGATTTTCTTAACACAATGCTGACATGAAAATAAATGTCTCCTGATGGGACTGCCTTGTAAGACAGCGTGCTTAGCCTTCCTTGCTTCCTCCCATCCTCCCCCCACCATATTTCAGCCATTATACCTCAGCAAACTGAAACAATGCAGACTCCTCCGAGTGTTTTACAGCTCCTGGGACTCCAGGCTGTGACGTGCTTGAAGAGATCTGTCAGGAGAACAATTATGTTTGTATTAGCTAACTCTTCAGTTGCAATAACAATCTTCAACATGCTAAATTTCTGATCCATCACATAGAAAGACTCCTGGTACCTAAAAGCATGCAATCAAGTCCCAGCATACCCGTACAAAGAACAGTATCTGCTTGCCAGGAGACACATAAATGGGCCATCTGTGAACTGGTGATGTTGAATTATTTTTTCACAAGGAAAATCCTTCCTTGGATATCAAAAGACAATGCTAAGACTTTTTTGAAGGCATTTTATTTGCCCACTGATATGTTAAAACAGGGTAGGCAACAAAAACTTAACACTATATCCTATTTCACAGTTCAGTGAAAGACCCGAGCTGCAGAATGGTGGCGCTGATGGAGTACAAATTGCTACTTAGCACAGGAGGGTGAGTGTGGACAGGGACACAATTCATCCAGATATTTTGAGATGCTAGATCTGTTCCAGACACTAAGGTAACTGCTTTTTATGCTGTTTGACTTGTATAAATTATTTCTGTTGCAAATGACACCTCTGACTAATGTTAGAGCTTGGTACGAGTACCAATTACTTTGCCGCTAACACACATACCTACCATGCACTGGTTAGCTGCAGCCTCACTACAGGCTGTTTAACATCCTTGAAAAGTAAGACTACCTAATATGAATTTCTAATCTTCAGCGAGCTACTTCTAAACCACATTTTAGTGGTGCAGATGAGCTTGTTTCCTGGCACTCACTGAAGTTCTCCTTAAGGAAAAGCCAGTAGTCACAAGCCCTTAGCAAGAGCCTATCCTGGAGCACACAACACAATTCCTGCCTACTGTCACATGGCTCTGGTGCTTTCCTCCTTGCACACTGCAGAATGAACTGAAATAATTGATTCAGCTACTATTTGTCTTATTCTTTAAAAGATTTAGCAGTGAAATTCAAGAAACAGACCATTATCAAGAGGAACTATACAAAGTATGACATTGTTCAACTGAGTGTAAATATACAAAAGCGTCTTAGAAACACTGGAAGATGGATGTTGAATTATTACCATAGAACTATCGTGACACTAGAATTAACCAGTCTCAAGAAACTTCTAAATATTGCTTTTCATTGCTGGCACATCAAGCATTTCCTCCACCTAGCAGGAAAAGCCAGCAGGCTGTTTAAGAGCCTAATTACAGGTTATGTACTTCACTCTGGCCATTAACTTAAATCAGAAATGGATCAGTACTTTAATTTATTTCTAATGCATTTTGAAAGGCTCAGCTCTCAAGTTGGAGCTCAAGGTCTTGTGGGTTGATGTTAAAACAAACAAAACCCAAACCAAAACAAAGTAATGTTTTCTGTGAGCTAGGATTGCAATGTATCTGCTCCATAAGTGATGGCATTTAGGGAGGAACATGAAAGTGCACACAGCGAAGAGCATTACAGACACGGAGTCAGATTCACAGCTGATGTGAAAGGTAATTAAAAAGAAGCCCTTGCTATGACAAAATTTCTTTCCATATGCACTTACTCAAACACTACACAGTGTCCTTTACAATCAATATTTATACAGCAAAATATTGACATGTCACCTGATTATGATCATTTCAAAAGCTGGAAAGATACCAACAAGCAAGTGATGCTTGCAGAGGACCAGGATTCCTGGTAACCTCATCCTTGTAATGTAATTTATGTCAATGAAATCCATTAAAACTTGGATGAAATCGTATGCGCTTGGAAAAACCATCACAGTTGTACTTCCAGCAATAAGTGGAAATATGTTCACAAAAATATTTTACACTGCAAAACTAAAGCATGGTTGCACAGAGCTATTTGGTGGTAGCAGAATAAAACTTGGGACCAGAAGTAGTTATTTTTGATGGAGTCAGTGACTGCAGCAGCCACAATACATAAAGGACATAACGTAACATCCATGTACACCTATTAAAACTTTAGTTAGTAAGACTCTAAAAGTGCAGAAATGACACATCTCTAAACTACTGCTTAAACCACAGCTCCATTATTGCACTGGGGCTTCCACCGTGTTCCTAAACACTCTGCTGCACTTCAAGTCTGACCTATCTACGTGTTAAATGATCCAGTATCACAAACCCAGAAAGAAGGAACAAACAAAACAATGACTTTTGAAGATTTCTGATTTCTTTTTCAACTGATTATCAGATGCTTCTTAAAAGCAAAAAATAGGCAAGATAACTTCAAAGAAACTCACCTCTGCAAACTGAAACAATGATGACTTTTGACAGGCCTCTGCAGAATTACTTGCATCAGATTGGAAAGTACTTGAGGAAACCTGAAACGAGGAGCGAGCAGAGTCAGACCTCAGAGGTGCTACTTTCAAGCTAAGAACAACAGTGAGAAAAATCAAGTATCACCAGGAAGCAGTAACAAGCAGCAGTGTTTAAGAGAAGATGAACAATCTAATGTTTTACAGACCTGGTTAAATCAAGTTTATAGGTGAAAACATAGTTTAGCACCCATTTTAAAGCATTTAAAAATCACCTAAGAAGAAAGGCCATAAAAATATGAGGGATTTTTTTTTCTCTTTTTATAATTCCAAACTTTGCAGAAAAGTTTTATGCAACAGAAGGCTAAACTGATGATACTGGGCTACACACACAACTACTTTGTACTGGTGATGCTATCAACACTGACGTACCTGTGATTTACGCTACCATTCTGAACAAATTAATTACTTAGAAGATAAAAATTGCAAATCTTTTTGAAGACACTGAAAGCTGGTCAGTGACAGAAGTATTAATTAGAAAAAATAATCCCTAATCACCTATCAGCATGAAAATAAGCAGTTAAGGGTACCAGAAGTCTAAAGTCGCTCAAATAATGTACCTAAACATCCACTTAAGGATGCTTATGAGAAGAAGTCCAAGAGTCATAACTTCTGAAATCAAAATACAAAGAAATGACTGTTCAAAATCAACAGCCTTAGTCAAATTAGAGCAGAGCTTAGCCATGCTGTCCTTATTAGCCAGAAACGTGTTAAGCATCATTCTGTAAAGAAATTGTATCAAATACAATATATTCATTAAACATCACATTTGGGTGTAAAAGATTTACACATGTAACTTACAGAAGCATGAGGTATTGTTAGGAAAAAATAAGGTATGTAATATAGGTTACAGGAAACAGAAGAAAGGAAGGAGGCTTTGGGGGATGTTAGAAAAAGTGTCCTGGTTTGGGGTAGAACAGAACTAATTCTGTGCAGTGATTTTACTTTTCAGCTAAGTCTCTTCTAACTCACTCCACGGTCTGAAGCTAACAGCGTATTTGCACAGACTGACTGCTTCTAGCAGTGATAACGCTCCATGTTTAGAGTTACCACCAAGGACTGGTGTGCAGACCAAGGCCACTGTTAAGCTTGTGCCCTACACCGAGGGGGGCAGAGACTACAAGCCACACCCACGGGGAAGAGAAGACAAGACGAGTGACTCTGAATTGACCAGTGGGGTATTCCACCCCATATCCCTCATTTCTTCACTGGCTGGCATCCGAGGACGACTCCATCCATTCTGCCTTTGATCCTGAGCCCTGTGTTCCTGAACCCAGTTCCTGTACTCCGCTGCTGTCTGCCACTCAGTCCAGTCTGGGACTTTTCCCCAGGGCCTGCTCCACAGAAGTGAGGTGATGTACTGCCATCAGGGGGGAGCGGGGTTCCATACTGGTTTTGTACGTATTTGTACATATTCTATTCTATTAGTAGTATTTTCATTAAAGCTGTTTTACTTTTCTAATTGATAAGTCTCTCTCCCTTATTCCCTTTCTCTTGCCCTTTAGGGGAGAGAGGGGCTAACAGAGAGTGTCTGTTACAGGTCTGAGGGCAGCCCTGACCCTAAACTGTGACAAATTTAACAGGATGGAAAATATTTTCCCCAACAATTTTTAATTTTTCCATGAAATTTCAGTTAATTTCAAGCATTTACATGCCAATTTGTCTTTTATTTATTACCAAATCCAAGTATGTCAATAGCATTTATTAGTGAATACACACTCATATGTGCATAAAGATGCTTATAAATCTTGCTGCTCTTGGGACACCCACCTCTGAAGGTCAGTCTCTGCACTGGTGTGAAACACATGACATCCCGCTTGCATAACTGAACATTTATTCTGGGACACTTCACTGGTGAGATTCTCCCAGGAATAACCAAATTTGGGATTTGGTTCCCCATATAACTCAAATTTTCTGCAGTCCAACCACCTGCCTTATATAGCTTAGCATGTGTTGTCTATTGAAGCAGTGTGTTCACAAGTGAAGCCCATTCAACACACTGTACAGAAGGCCACTGTTTTGCGTAGGAGAAGCGATGAGAACGAGGCGGCCATATGAAACCTCCCTGCTCCCTGAGGCAGGTGCTGCAGGACCTCAACTCTGCCCACCTGCCGGAACAGACAGCGGCTTCACATCCACATGAGCCCCATCAACACATGCCCGAGCTGGCACAGCACAAACCAGCTCTGAGTGAGGAGCCATTGCCCCGTACCATGCCAGGAGCATAGTGCTGGGGCAGAGAAGCCCACCTGAGAGGGGCTGCCATGGCTCAGCCCCCACGCTGCCAGCGCTGTAGAGCACTCGCTGTTTGCTGGGCAGGAGCATAGAGGGAGGACCAGCTGCTGCCGCTCG